AGAGCCAGAACTTTGAGCTTGGACTTCTAGCCTCCTGAACTATAAGAGAATAAGCTCCTGTTTGCTAAAGCCATCCACTTGTGGCATTTTTTTTTTTTTTTAAAAGCAGCCCTAGATGACTAAAACAGTCTGAAATAAATGTCTGTTGTTCAAAGAATGGGAGAAGGGAATTTAACTTTCCTACCTATTTGGTTTTCAAATTACTTTATGGAGATAACTCATTAGACTATTAAAAATCTGATACTATTTTGCAGTCCAATGAAGTCTTTAGTTTTCAATAGACATGACCTTTAGAAGTACCAAGTTAAAAGGAGTATACTAAAAAAGTCTTTGCTGCTAAAATAGTGTCTCCAGTGTCTGTCATGGCCTAGATAGAATTTTCTTTTGAGAAAACCACAGCTACTTATTTTCTGTGGCCTCATTCAAACAAACTTACATTATCATAAGAAAGAATAAAGGGCACGCTGGTATTCACAAGTACAAAATGACTTTTCATTTCTGGTGTTACATGGTGAAGATGAATGACTTGTTTCCTTGAGTTTCAAAAATGAGGTCAGTTAAGAGTTTAAATATCTCAAAGAAAAACATTATATTTCCTTTGTTGGACTAATATGGGCTCTACATGATTAGATGCCTCTAAAATTATTCCTAAAACTGAAAATGTTCAAATATTCCCTAATACTTCACCAACATTATATGTTTTTGAAAACCTGAATGATCAACTTTTTTAAAAGAAACACAAATAAAGCTGATCTAAAACTCTACTTCTGCAGTTTTGTATCCCTGATATTCTATTCTCCCCAAACAGTGTTTTGATATGTGATATTTGTGGCAAAGATTGACTTTAAAACCACACCAATTTGGGAAAGGAACCTTACAACCTTAGAGGCCCTAAGTCTTCCACTCGGTACCATTTTCTTATCATTAGAGAAATGGTCTCAGTGAAGTTTCAGCAAAATATTCCATTATGACACTTTTCCCTCAATTGTCGTGCTACATATGCTGAAATATGGTGGTTGAAATGTTTTCTTGAAGTGAGTTCTTACTCCTTGTAGACCATGCCTAACAAAGAGGTAGAAGTTGGTAACAAGAATGTATTTTTGTAAAAAGTGTAAATACAGGAACTTTTACTTGAAAAAGTAACTTCTAACTTCTACTTCTCAAAAAATAAAGTGTATTCAGTTAAAGAGATTCCTGTTTTCTACTTAGAAAAGAATGATATTAATAGTAATTTAGAAGTTATTTTTACCTTGAATTTATATTTTATTAAATATATTAGCAAGCTAAAGTAGAATGAAAAGAGTTCAGAGCTTCTGGTGACTCTAAAGAGAGTCTAACTTCATATTGGTGTCCCTATGAGCAAAATAGTAAGCCACTTGGCTGCTAACCCAAAGGTCGGCAGTTCACAACCACCAACTACTCCATGGGAGGAAGATGGGGCAATCTACTTTTGTAAAGATTTACAGCCTTGGAAACCCAATGGGAGATTTCTGTGAGTCAGAATTGACTCAACAGCAGTGAGTTAGTGAGTATGAGCAAAATAAGAGATGCCTAGAATTCTCTAATCTTACTTACTATTTTAAAGGCCATTGGGAAGAAAACATGCTGTTATCTCTGAAGAAACACCTGAATTAAAGACATAACTATTACCAAACATTTAAGTTTTAGTTACCAACCCAAAATTTCCAAAAGACACTCATTTTGGCATTTAATTATAAAACAGCAGCTTTTTAGCACTGTCTTAGGTCAGGTTCCCCAGAACCAGCCATGAAATTTTTGAGCAAGTAATTCATTGACACAATGTTCTCAGAAGAAAATTGTAGAGTAGTGAGGAAAGTAGGATAAGACAGAGAAAGAAGATGAGGGGAAATACTGTCCCTGAAGAAGTCTAGCCTCAGCCTGATCCCACTGGAAACACCAGAGTTTAAACTGCAACACAGAAGTTGCCCACCCAGAAGCAAGAGACCTGAGCTGTGATTCTTCTGTCAAACCTTGGGTAAGGGTCATGCCCATCCAGGGAGGAGGAATAATTGGCTGGGCATCTCCAGGCACAGCGGCTCTTCTAACCCCTGTCCAGTCCTCTGGAAAAGGCTGCAGATGGGGGCATTTGCAGTCAACTTCTGCAGTAGCCCTGGAGCAGGTACACCAGCTCCCATTGATTTGACCCTAACTTATGCCAGGACACCAACACCATCTGCTTCGAGTACGTGAATGCTGTATCCTATATAGTGATCTCTACTTAGACTCATCCCTCGTGAAATTCAAACAAGGGGTCTGACTGGCTTTTTGTTAGTTTTTTTGTTTGTTTGTTTTGTTTCTTTCCCTTGTGCAGATGTTAAGCAAAGATATTAGAGGCAGAAATAACATTGGAAATATATTCATGTCTATGCTTAGGCATATTTTTCTGTCAGTGTAAGACTTTCCTGTAGTGCCATTTACTGCATTCCAAAACAAACATCATTTAGGAAACTTTCCAGTCTCACTTAAAAATTTGTCAGAGGATGATGCGTCTATTGGTCCTATGGGATATAAAACCTACAGCGTAAATAAAAGCCTGGAAGATTGCATACATATACTAACGTACATTTCTTTAATTTTATTAATTGTTTCTCATGTTCAATAACTCAATATCTTAGGTCAAAATTACTAAAAGTCTACACAAAAAGCAAAGAAATAATCAAAGATGTGCAAGGAAGGTTGGGCAATCTACTTCCATAGAGATATCACCTTGGAAACCCAAGGGGGGTCGCTATAAGTTGGAATTGACTCAACAGCAATGATTGCTTAAATATGTTTCAAATAGTGGATTAGTGCAAATATTCAACAGTAATGGATTGGAAAATAAATTATGGTAGGGCTATACGATGGAAAATGTTGATGTTATTACAAATCATATTATAGAAGATTATTTAATGACATGGAAAATACTTGTATTAAGTGAAAAAATAAGGTTAAAACAAAGAATGTAAATATTATTCCATTTTTTAAAAATTAGTAATTGTATATTTTAAAAAGACTTTACATTCTCCTCATGTTCTTAGTTGTTATCTCTGAGTAGCTTTGGTGTTTGAATTATTTCTTTGGGGGTTTCTGTTAACATTTTTATTTTTTTTATTTTCTATTATAGGTGTAGGTTACTTTTATAATATTTTAAAAACCATATCAACTTTAATATACTCATTTTCAGTTATGATTAGCCAAACTATTTTCAAAGATTTTTTTTATACTGATAAGTCTTAATTTTCTCATCTTTTTTCTCCCCAGTTTTCCTACTGCATAACCAAATGAATGTAAAATACCTAATGTCTATTACTATTTTAATTTTGTGTCAACCCAATAATCATTAAATTATGTTTTATTTAAAAAAGTATTGCCCTTCTACATAGGGTATTCATATTTTTAAGCTTCATCTTTAATATTTGTAGACTCTTCCTTAATAATTCTTTGCATTGTGACATTTAACTTAATCACTTTACAGCTATAAATATACACCCCCTAATATGGTCCAGGAATTATGCTAAGGACTTTATATAAACTCAGAAGTAACAAAAGTATTTTGAAAATCCTGCCCTTTACATTAAAGAACAGGAAAATATCAACTGATTTGAAGATAATCTTCTTTTTAAAATGCCTTAATCACTTTTAATCAAGAAGAAATCATGTAGAAAATTACACCTGAAAAAGCAAGATATATATCATTTAATATGTCATAACATGAAATGCTAGTGGTGTCCACAAAGTACTCAAAGAGGATGAAATATTAAATATTCAATCAATCTTCTAGATGTTTTTTTTAACAAGATGCTGTTTTTTCAGTGAACTATCTTTTTTTTTTTTTTTTTCCTGAGCTGTTATGTTACACAGGCAAAGCCAGCAGGTAGGTATGGAAATCATGCTTAATGTCATCCCTAAGATCAGAAAACCCTCTCACCTCTTTCTTTTTTTCCTGAGCTGTTATGTTACACAGGGAAAGCCAGCAGGTAGGTATGGAAATCATGCTTAATGTCATCCCTAAGATCAGAAAACCCTCTCACCTCTTTCTTTATTTCTTCTTCATCTTCAAGGGTCAAGGCAGCCAGTTGCTTAGCTCTCTGCTCCATCAGATTCACATATCGAATTGGGTTTGACAAAGCTTCAATTACATCTAAACAGGAAGGAGACATTTCATATCAAAGATCCCGGAGATAGTGATTATCCATCATCCATCCATCCATATGCCCATCCAAACTGCCATCCATGTACCAATCTATTCATGCCTCCATTCATCACCATCTACCCACCCATCCACCATCCATTCTCCATTGCTCCATCTACCCATCTACCTATCCACTCATTCATCCAACTAACCAACCATTCAATATCTATCCAACCAACATCCACCCATCCTTTCATCTGCTCATCCATCCACCTATCCATCCTTTATTCCCTTTTCCTAATTATCCACTCATCCATCTGCTATACCTTCACCTACTCATCCATATGTTTATTCATCTACCATCCATCCATTCATTCATTCACACAGAATTAAGAACTAGATTAAAATGAGAGTCTAATCCCCATCATTTCACAGATGATTGGGGGGAAAAGAGAAAGGTCTTCAGGGTCACATTTCTTTGGCAAAACCCTACCTACTTGTCCAAAAACATTTCTAAAATATTCAAGGTAGTATTCAATCATAAAAATATGTATACCTCCAGAAGGAACTATCCCTTTAAATTAGGTTGTTTACCTGCATACGTGTCTGGTACATAATCTTTCACTTCTATGTTGACAAAAACAGCTGGCAGCATCAGAGGCTGGTTCCTCTCATTCCTCAGACTGATGTAGTGATAGCCTGGAGGGTGACAATAATATTATGTCTCACATTTTTTTTCACAATGTTAGTTATAACATATGAACATCGATGTGATACAAGTGTTTATTTTAGGTGACTTTGGGTGACAAACAGGTCACTTCTTTTTCACGTTAATGACATGGTTTGAATAATAAAGCATTCTTTTCATCATCAAACAAGAAAGCATTATTGATTCCCTTTCTATCTTTTTTTTCCTTTCCAACCATATTTGTCTCTACAAATGAGAATTCTAAGCCATTTGTTAAAGATTGAATCACTGATTCGAATTAATCTCCTATAATAGCATCATGTTTTCCATCACTTCGTAACTTTGAGTTTAGTTATATATTCTGCTTTGCCCAGTGGTATCTTACTAATGTAGGTTGAGGCTGAAAATGCAGTTAGGCTTGCCCTTTTGCACTTCACTTTTCACCATGAGAGCACCAGGTGCTCTGGTTGCGTAGGAGTAACGCATTTGGCTGCTAACCAGAAGGCTAGTGGTCCAAACCCACCAGATGTTCCATGGAGGAAGATGAGAAAATCAACTTCTGTAAAAATTTACAGCCTTGGCATAACATACTATACAAAACATC